ATGGCTTATTGTTAGAATGTCTAGGCCCGCAAGAAGCATTAACAGCCATGGCTGAGGTTCATGAAGGCATCTGTGGTGCTCATCAACCTGGTGTAAAAATGAGGTGGTTGCTTCGAAGGCATTCCTATTATTGGCCAACCATCCTTAAAGACTGCATAGAATATGCAAAGGGGTGTCAGGCATGTCAAAAGCATGGCACAATATGGCACATGCCCATAACTGACCTACATGCAGTAGTGAAGCTTTGGCCATTCAGAGGGTGGGCCATGGATATGATGGGAAAAATACACACACCTTCTTCGAAACATCATTGTTTCATTCTAGTGGCCACTGACTACTTCACTAAATGGGTCGAAGCTAAGCCATACAAGGCTGTAGACCAAACAGAGGTTATTGGTTTTATTAAAGATTTGATCCATAGATTTGGCATCCCGCAAACCATAACAGTTGATAATGGAACTGTGTTTGATGGGAAGATGGTGAAGTCTTTTGTGGCAGAATTTGGAATTAGTCTTGTTAATTCCACACCCTATTATGCACAAGCTAATGGTCAAGCTGAGTCATCCAATAAGTCTTTGAAAAAAGGAATACAAAAGGTTGTGGATGACAATCCCAGGGATTGGCATAACCTATTATTGGATGTTCTGTGGGCATATAGAACCTCACCGAGGTCAAGCACAGGAGTCACTCCCTATGCCTTGGTGTATGAACATGATGCAGTCTTACCAGTGGAGATTAATGTTAAATCTTTGAGAGTAAGATGTCAAGATCAATTGAATCCTGAACAATACCATCAAAGTATGTGCTTAGAATTAGAAGGCATAGATGAAGCCAGAATTCTGGCATTAAATAGCATTCTTTTCCAAAATAAGAAAGCAACCTAGAATTATAATAAGAAAGTCAAACACATTGGCTTTGATGAAGGTGATTTGGTATGGAAAACAATACTCCCAATTGGGATTAAAAGCCATAAGTTTGGCAAATGGTCACCTAACTGGGAAGGACCATATCAAATTCATAGGGTTCTGCCTTTTGGAGCATACCATTTAAGAAATTTGAATGGTTATGTACATCCCAAAAAGATTAATGGCAGATATTTAAAACCTTATTTTCCAACCATTTGGGAAACACAAGGGATAGAGTAAACATCATATGCAAAAACACAAAGCTTGTTCAAATTATATTCAAAATAGTGTACTTTCATAAAGAATCAAGTACATTATGCCACAAATTGGCCCAAAAATCATTACAATGCTTTAATTGTTTTTGTACAATAGCTTTCCTATTACTAAGGGAAGGAAATAATTGAATAGCTACAACCATGTCTTCTTTTCGATTAGCCAGCCCTTGATTGGTAATGTGCAGTTTCTTATCAGTTCGAACCAAGGCTGCTTTCGGTCAGCCAGTCCTTGGTTGGTGATCTGCAGTTTGGTGTCAGTTCAGATTAAAGCCTGATTCACTGCAGATAGCTCCTTCTCAAGTTAGGTTTTCCTCTCCACTAGTTGAGTTCGAAAATGAAAGACAGAGGAATGTTGTTCCTTTAGCCCTGAGACTTCAGCATGTACTGTGGAAACAAAGCTCTAATCTCTCACTAGTTGCTCCTCTGCAGCCTTGGCAGCATGACAAATGTTGATGTAGAAATCAATAGTAGCTGCAGCCTGAGATAGATGACTTGAGACACTCATGGCAGACTGCTCAGCAATGTTACAGCATTGAAGGAACCCATTCCTGATGATAGGCCTTTGTAGAGCCTCGAAGGGGATCCTTGAAAAAGAAGTCAACAGTTGCAAGCATGTGTCTAAATCTACTGAAGGTGCAAAAGGCTTGTTGCTGGAGGAAGGAGAACTCTTGAAGATTTCCAGTAGGGAGTCAGCCAAGGCTAATGGTTCAGCTTCAGCAGTAGAGGTGGGAGAGGTAGAAGGTATGTCAAAGAGACTAGCTAGTCTTCCTTCGAAGATGTCTACCTCGTCCCTTGACATGAAGGGCATAGAGAGTGTTGTGGTGGAAGACACAAAGGGCTGCATGGGGATGGGAGAAACGGATGGAGCATCTTTGGCAGCCTCTATGGTCTTGGCCACCAGCAAATCAAGTGAAGAGGGGCTGGAAGTGGGCATTGGTGATGAGCCATGAATTGAAGAGCTACCAATGTCCTCTGTGGAAGAATCAACTGCCCCTGGGAATTGAGCAGCAGTTGGAGTTTCTGTAAAGGACGGAAAAAGAGCAAGGCTCGAAGGAAAAGTAGACTGAGGTAGGTCACGAGCCAAAAAGGGGAGGTATGGCTTTAATCCAAGAAGAAGAGATGCAGGAATACTCGGACTTAAAGAAGGTACGTCAAATATAGGCTTTGGAAGTGGAAGTACGATTCGAACAACCCTGACATTCTGCATTTGATCAACCTCAACCGAAATTGAGGAAGGCCTCATTGGAAAGGTGAGTGCAGTAGTTGTCGCTGCAAAAGGAAGAAATGCAGAACAATGTTAAACTTCAATACCACAAGCTGACAAAGTAAAAAACAGTAGAGGTATGAAAGAAATTACTTGTTCCAGAGGCACTGGTACTGATGGGAGAACTGCGGAGAGAATAGTGTCCAGCAGTCCGTTGTTTTCTGGCTAGTTCCCTTTGCAATGCATCAACAGCAGCAGCTCTCTCTCTTAAAATTTGTTGCTGCCGTCTTTTCTCAGCCCTTTCAAAGACGACTACGGCTTTGGAATGTTTTTGTTCCACGGCCTTGGCGGCTGTCTCATGAAGGGGATCTTCAATCAAGGCAGTAGTTGAAGCAATCATTTTCCTTCTCTTTCCTATTGCTTGGGCAATTGTCTCAAAATCAGAATCCTCATCAAAGTTGGAAGGGGAGATATCAAACTCAGAAGGAGAGACAGTAATCTTTCTTCTCTTTTTTCTTTGAATTTGCATTGTCTGCTCCTCAATTGTTTTCTCAGCTCCTTCAGCCTGAGGTTCGGATTCCGTAAAAATAACCTCCTCCTCTACTTCCCTAGTGGTTGTCTCTTCTTGGGACAAATCAATCACCCTTTTCCTCCTCATCAAGGGTGACTCATGCTCTTAATCTTTTGCATCTTCTTTTCCTTCTTCTTGCACCTCAATTGTTTTCTTCTCAGGCTCAAGCAGTCTCCGCTTCTTTTGTTTCTGATCACCTTCAACTAAATAAACTTCCATATTACTCACCCACCAACTCTGATATCTCTTCAAAAAGGTGCCTTGAGGAATGAAAGGGATGTACTCAAAAGTGGCCAGATCATCCATAAACTTGAAGGTTGCCTCTTCTAGCCTTGACTTTCGAACCTTCAAATCTCTCTTGGTCAGAGTTAGGTTGGTGTTGCTGCAGAGAGGTATTGGAACTCCTTGTGTGAGGCCAAATTGTCTAGCAAATTGAGCAGGACAATAAGGCTCAGCTATGCATTTATAGGCTCTGGGGTTGGTGGTCCCAATAAACAGTTCTCTAGGGATCAGTAGGGAAGCCCACATATCTTTATGAATAGGCAAAGCACAGAGCCTATCACTAAGGAAGTGATTTAACCAGGTTGGACCTATGCTAGCTTCGAAGGAACGGAAACGATGATCAGGAAGAGCAGCTGGTAGTTGATGAAAGAAGGAGAAATAAAAGGAAAAAGTAGCTGGATAAATTTGGAATGTTATATTGATGACATTGTGGTTAAGTCTCAATCCATGGAAGAGCACTTGTTTCACTTAGAAGCAGCTTTTGAAAGGATGAGGAAGTTCAAATTAAAGCTTAATCCTCTTAAATGTGCTTTTGGTGTATCATCTGGAAATTTCTTGGGCTATGTTGTTCACAAGAAGGGAATACAGATTGATCAGAATAAAGCCAAAGCGATCATTGAAGCCAAACCCCCATCAAGTATGAAAGAATTACAAAGGTTCCTTGGGTAGGTTAACTTTCTTCGGAGGTTCATTTCTAACACTGCAATGAAAACTAAAGTATTTTCTTCCTTGTTAAGGCTGAAAGATGAAGAGGAATTTGTGTGGACAGCAGAGCATCAAATTGCTTTCGAAGGTATCAAGGCCTACTTGGCTAACCCTCCAGTGCTGATGCCACCAAAGGGTAACAACCCCTTGAAGTTGTACATAGCTGCAGCAGAAGATTCATTGGGAGCTTTCTTGGCCCAAGACAATGAAGAAGGCAAGGAGCAAGCTATTTATTACCTTAGTAGGTTTTTAAGTTCGTGTGAATGTAAATACTCAGCTGTTGAAAAGCTGTGCCTTGCTTTGTATTTTGCTGCAATGAAATTGAGATACTATCTTTAACCTACAACTGTCTTGGTAATTGCAACCACAGATTTGGTTAAATATATGTTATCTAGACCAATGTTGAGGGGAAGAATTGGCAAATGGATACTTGCCTTATCAGAATTTCATCTAGAATATGTCCCTCAAAGGGCAGTAAAAGGGCAGGTTTTAGCCAACTTCTTGGCAGATCATCCATCTCAAACTGAGAGCCAGGAGATAATGGAACTTGGTATGGCCAGTGTTGAGCCATGGCAAATGTGGTTCGATGGGTCGAAAGCAAATGGGTTAATTGGAATTGGTATTGTAATCAAGTCTCCACAAGGGACAGAAACTACCCACGGTTTTAGAGTAGATGAAGCTACCTGTTCCAATAACCAGGCTGAATATGAAGCCTTAATTGTAGGACTAGAGATTCTTATTGGATTACAAGTACATGCAGTTGACATATTCGGAGATTCTCAATTGGTGGTTAACCAAGTGAAAAGAATTTTCAAGTGTCAAAGCATAAGTATCTTGTCATATTATGTTGTTGCATTACATTTGCTTTCTCAGTTTCAAATAGCAAATGTAACCCATGTTCCAAGATTCTTGAACAATAGAGCCAATAATGTGGCAGAGAAGGCTTCGAACTTCAAGAGAAGGGATAATAGACAAAGGGACATAAGCCAAACAACATATCAGAGATTAATACAACCTTTGAATAAAAGGAATGTGATCTTGGAAGTCAATCATAATGACTTACAAGAATAAGATTGGAGGCATCCAATAATGCAGTACTTGGCTGGTCCATCTTCGAAGGCCAGTAGAAAAGTTAAATTGCAGTCTATGCAATATATGATATATGGTAATGCTCTCTACAAAGGGGGGGGGAGATGGCTTATTGTTAGAATGTCTAGGCCCGAAAGAAGCATTAACAGCCATGGCTGAGGTTCATGAAGGCATCTGTGGTGCTCATCAACCTGGTATAAAAATGAGGTGGTTGCTTCGAAGGCATTTCTATTATTGGCCAACCATCCTTAAAGACTGCATAGAATATGCAAAGGGGTGTCAGGCATGTCAAAAGCATGGCACAATAAGGCACGTGCCCATAGCTGACCTACATGCAGTAGTGAAGCCTTGGCCATTCAGAGGTTGGGCCATGGATATGATGGGAAAAATACACCCACCTTCTTCGAAACATCATTGTTTCATTCTAGTGGCCACTGACTACTTCACTAAATGGGTCGAAGCTAGGCCATACAAGGCTGTAGACCAAACAGAGGTTATTGGTTTTATTAAAGATTTGATCCATAGATTTGGCATCCCGCAAACCATAACAGTTGATAATGGAACTGTGTTTGATGGGAAGATGGTGAAGGCCTTTGTGGCAGAATTTGGAATTAGCCTTGTTAATTCCACACCCTATTATGCACAAGCTAATGGTCAAGCTGAGTCATCCAATAAGTCCTTGAAAAAAGGAATACAAAAGGTTGTGGATGACAATCCTAGGGATTGGCATAACCTGTTATTGGATGTTCTGTGGGCATATAGAACCAAGAGCACCTGTTTCACTTAGAAGCAGCTTTTGAAAGGATGAGGAAGTTCAAGTTAAAGCTCAATCCTCTTAAATGTGCTTTTGGGGTATCATCTGGAAATTTCTTGGGCTATGTTGTTCACAAGCCAGAAGAAAGAGGTCGTGGAGGAAGAGATGTTCGAAGCCTTCATGGCTGAGCAAACGTTTCTGACTGAAGAGCCAGTTGAGAAAGATCCTTCGAAGGGATCAGTTAGCGATGAAATACCAGAATGCATCATGCAGGATGTTTCTGAGGGAGTCAACCAAAGTAACCAAGAGGGGAAACAAGTACAGCCAGCCATCCAGTTTGGCTCGTTTCCCCCAGTATCAGTGAACATGGTACACATACTACCACAGGAATTCCAAGCTGGAGATGAAAATCAAGAGGGGCAGGAAGCTGATCCAATTCAG